ATAATGGAGACTAGCAGAACGACAAGTGAAGATTCATTGCAGGATGTATCTCTACTCCTGAAAAAAAGATAGACCCCTCCCAATAAAACTGTTAAATGTATCTTTTTTTTTAAGATTTATTTATTTTTATTGCAAAGTCAGATCAGAGGAGAGACAGAGAAGATCTTCTGTCCAATGATTCACTCCCCAAGTGGCTACAATGGCTGGTGCTGCACCAATCCAAAGCCAGGAGCCAGGAACTTCTTCCAGGTCTCCCACATGGGCACAGGGTCCTAAGGCTTTGGGCCGTCCTTGACTGCTTTCCCAGGCCACAAGCAGGGAGCTGGATGGGAAGCGGGGCTGCCGAGATTAGAACTGGCGCCCATATGGGATCCTGGCACGTGCAAGGCGAGGACTTTAACCATTACGCTATCGTGCCAGGCCCTGTTAAATGTATCTTGACAATAGGATATTGGACTTTCTACCATTGCCTATACCTACAATGTCAGGATACACTTAAATAGCAGAATGACTGCCTTGTGATTGTTGCTGAAGGACAATACCATTGTAATAATATAGGGAAAATTAGTTGCAGGGGGAAGAATGAGAAGAGTGGAAGGGGAAAATCTCTGAGCCTAAAGAATATATCATGAAGGGAATTCATCGATTTTTCAACAGGTGATATATGTGCAAAATACAGAAGATACACAGAGGTAAAAACTGTTTCCTACTCCCTTTCTCTCCACCATTCAGGTCCTTTTTTTTTTTTTTTTAAGATTTGGTTTTAGGACCCGGCGCGGTGGCGCAAGTGGTTAAGGTCCTCGCCTTGCACGCCCGGGATCCCATATGGGCACCGGTTCTAATCCCGGCAGCCCCGCTTCCCATCCAGCTCCCTGCCTGTGGCCTGGGAAAGCAGTCGAGGATGGCCCAAAGCTTTGGGACCCTGCACCTGTGTGGGAGACCCGGAAGAGGCTCTGGGCTCCTGGCTTCGGATCAGCATAGCATCGGCCGTTGCGCTCACTTGGGGAGTGAACCATCGGACGGAAGATCTTCCTCTCTGTCTCTCCTCTCTGTATATCCACCTTTCCAATAAAAATTAAAAAAAAAAAGATTTGGTTTTATTAGAAAGTCAGATTTAGAGAGAGGAGAAGTGGAAAGAAAGATCTTCTGTCCCCTGACCACTTCTCAAGTGGCCACAACGGCCAGAGCTAAGCTGATCCATAGAGCCGGGAGCCAGGAGCTTCTTCCAGGTCTCCAATGAAGACACAAGGTCTCAAGGCTTTGGGCTGTCCTTGACTGCTCTCCCAGACCACAGGCAGGCAGCTGGATGGGAAGTGGGGCAGCTGGGACATGAACCAACACTCATATGGGATCCTGGCACATGGAAGACGTTAATGCACCTGAGAAAGCAGTGAAAGATGGCCCAAGTCCTACGTCCCTGCAATGACATGGGAGACCTGGAAGGAAAAAGCTCCCATTTTTAGATTGACTCAGTTCCAGCCACTGCAGTCATTTGGAGATGGAATCAGTGGGTGAAGATCTCCCTGTCTCATTTTCTTTCTCTGTGAATCTGCCTGTTAAGTAAAAATCAACATATCTTTAGAGGGGAAATAGAAGGAGTACGGTGCAAAGGTACAGAGGCTAAATCCTTGTCTTGCAAGCACCAGGATCCCATACAGATGCTGGTTCATGTCCCAGCTGCCCCACTTCCCATCCAGCTCCCTGCTTGTGGCCTGGGAAAGCAGTGGAGGATGGCCCAAAACCTTGGGACCATGCAACTGCATGGGAGACCCAGGGGAGGCTCCTGGTTTCGAACCAGAGCAACTCCAACCATTACTGCCACTTGGAGAGTGAACCAGCAAATGAAAGATCTTTCTCTCTGTCTCTCCTTCTCTGAGTAAATCTTTCAAAAAAAGAAATATATATATAGATATAGATAGATCTATACCTATACATATATAGAAAGAGAGAGAGATTGCATAAGAAACTATTACAATGTTAAAAATGGTTGTTATTATTTCATGTTGAAATTATGGGTAATACATATTTTCTTCTAATTTGTTGTAGTTTTCAAATTTTCAGCCAACAAAAATATACTGACATATTCAAAGGACACAAACACCCTTTCTTGTTAATTTATACAATATATATATTGGGCTATCTATGTTGCTAGGAACATTTTCTTGGTGGTGGACAAAAGGGAATCTTTGTACTCCTATCCAGTTGAGCAATCTCAAGGATTGAGATCCCCAACATTTCTAAGCAGCAAATAAGAGATTACCAAATACACTTTGCCTTGCTGAAGCCCTGAAAGGTAGGCTGGGGCAGGTGTTTGCACAGGGATTAAATCAGTACTTGGGATGCCCACATCCCATACTAGGATGCTGGATCAAGTCCTGGCTTCTTAGTTTCCAATTCAGCTTCCTGTGAGGCACAACCTGGGAGGCAGGAGGCAGCAGTTGATGACTCACATACTTAGGTCCTTGCTGCCCATGTGGAGGCTAAGCCTGAGTTCTGGGCTCATTGTTTTGGGCCAGCCCTGAATGTTGCGGGCACTTTGGGAGTGAACCAGTAGATAGATCTCTCCCTCTGTCCCTCCCTTTCAAGTGAAATGAAAGTAAATACCAATTAAGAAAACAAATTTCTGAGATTTAAAAAAAAAAAAAAGATGCAGGCTCTCAAGGGAAATGATACCCCTCTAAGAATATGGTCATGATGCTATAGCTTTACTCAGCCATGAGTGATTTTTTTAAAAATACAACTCACATTCACAACACGCCCTTACGAAAACACAGAGGAGCTACAGCCCACATGAATCATCATGTCCCTTCTCCCCTTGAAGGGCAGGACACCAGAATAGCTTCTGGATGACAAAGCAGCCTGAAACTTTGGAAAGCCTTAATCTTTAGGGAGGAGACGAAAGGAAGAAACGAGTTCTTAACTCATGACTTCAATCCCTAGACCTTTACCAGGCAGAACCAAGTAGCAGTGAAATCAACATGAATCTTGTTTTAAATTCTTCCCCCACTAGAACCTGCAGCAGCAAGTATTTGTACTTAAATGATACTTGTCTGGTTCATTTTATTCCTACTTGCTAACATCACTGTTGTTTCAGAGGTCACAGTATAACAGGGTGCATTCACAAAAATTATCACATTTTAGTGACAGTAACAAGATATGTTAATGGTGTTTTCCATTTACCAAGCATCTTTCATTTGAGAATCTGCCTGACTTTATTATATCGTCATGACACATTCTCTTTTCTGGCATGGATGGTGAAATTGTCATGAAACACACCTCAGGAACTATTCGAGATGACCATGTGAAATTTGTAATACAGTCAAGAAAAGAAGTCATTTGCTATCGAGTCACAAATACTGTAATGATTGAGTGAAAGCACAACTATTCTGGAGACTGATTTAGTCATCTGCCTGGGAAGCTTATATTGAAATTTCACGAAGCACGTGGACACGATTCCCAAGTTTCTGGCTTAGGACACTGAATAGGTCAATGGCACAAATTAACAGAAAAAAAAAATATTGAGAAGATGGATAATCTTCCTGTAAATGACCCTGGCAACCAGCAAAGAACGGCTCAAGTATTGGGCTCCGGCCTTCTACGTGAGAGACCAAACAGAGTTCCTGGCTTCAGCTTTAGCCCCAGCTGCTGCAGGCATGTGGAGAGCGAGCCAGTGCGGAAGGTCTCTCCCTCTCTGTTCACTCTGCCTCTCAAATAAATTAATCAGAAAGAAACATCAATTTTAATTATACCACTCTTAAGTTTAAGCAGTTTGTTCTGACTGGTTCACTCCATCTTCAAGGCAAAAGGACTGTGAGAAAGGAATTTTTTTTTTTTTTGCTTTTGCTTTTTATTTTATTTTTTTCATTTATATTGGAAAGGCAAATACATAGAGAGAAAAATCTTCCGTCTGCTGATTTACTCCCCAAGTAGCTGCAATGGTTGGAGCTGAGCCAATCCAAAGCCAGGAGCCAGAAGCTTCAGGTCTCCCACGCAGGTGCAAGGTCCCAAGGCTTTGGGCCATCCACCATTACTTTCCCAGGCCACAAGCAGGGAGCTGGAAGGAAAGTGGAGCAGCCAGGATACAAACCAGCACCCATATGGGATCCCAGTGGATGCAAGACAAGGATTTAGCCACTAGCCTCTTGTGTCCCTGAGGATCTGCACTGGTGGGATCATGAACTCAGCAGCAGCAGCCAGAATCAAGCCCAGGCACCTGAATTGGAATGTGGCCATCTTAGCCATGAGGCTAGCCACCCACTGTGGTAGACGTTTAATGTAACAGCATATTGAAAGGCAGAAGCTGAATACCTCTTTTTGCCTCTATCTACTTCAGAGGAAAAAAAATATGGTTTCCAACCAAAACTAACGAAAACTTTGCTGATTAGGGGTGGCTAAAAATAGTCCTCCAAGATAGCCACATTCTAATTCCTAGACCCTGTGAACATTACATTTCATGGTCATAAAGGAGTCCTATAGGTGTGATTAAATTAAGGGTTTTAGACCAGGAGTATGACCCTGGATTATCCAGGCCAGCACACTATAATTACAGAAGTACTTCTGGGAGGGAAGCAGGAGATCACAAGGAAGGAAGGTGATGTGTAAACAGATTTCAAGATGCTGTGTTGCTGGCTTTGAACAGGGAGGAAGATCCAAGGAGATCCAAGATTCCAAGTTCAAGGAATGTAGCTCTAGAGGTCAGAAATGACAAGGGAACAGATTTCTCCCCTCAGCCTCCAGAGGGAGTGCAGTCTTATGCACACACACACACACATAAATATTTCAACATTTTTGCTGACTTAACCTCTTGTTGCTGATTTGCTGCCTTTATCAGCTCTGATCCATTCTATTGGCATCCTATATCTATGGTACAGCTGGTATTCAGTATTACCCTCAAGAGGTTAGAGACCTGTGGCCATCATCATCTCCCTAACAACCAACTTCCTGTACCCATTTCTTCCCAGCAAATGATGCAGTGAACCTGACATCAAAGAGCTACCTACCTGGTCATGGATGAGACCGTGGTAGAGGATGCTCTGCATGTCCCGGCACAGCCGCTCCAGACCGCCATACTTAGACCAGACGTTGGGGCTGTTGGCCGACACCAAACCCTCCACAGTCGTCTTCAAATTACCCAGCAACTGCCAGTGCTCCCTCCTGCAAGGGCATCAATTACACCAGTGGTTAGTTGACTTGTTGCACCTGATACTTAGTACGTCAAAGGAAGACTAACAAAAAGTAAGTGCCCTGTCCCACATCAAAACATTTTCTCCCCATATGGATTTTTCACTTGGACATAACTTTGAGGGGATAAAAGCTATAAAGAGGAGCACTAAAACGAAAAACAAAGGCAAACAAACAAAACCGCACATTTAAATGGCACATCATGCTCTGTAAAATGATTTTTATTGACTCTCATTCAATCCCTAGATAAGCAGACTTTAAACCCGCATGTATAGGAGTTTGATCCTCTGACAATCCCTTTCTTAACAGTAACAGTCCAATGGCAATATAGGGGTATTTCAAAACTTTCAAGGGATGGAATTAAAACATGTTAATTTTGGTGTAAAAAATGTGAAATGCATGTAACTTATAATATGCATTTTCCATGCAACTTTTGAAGACCCTTCATACTAAGGATGAGGATATCCATTCAGAACCAAAACTCTTTTGCCAAACAAAAATGCACTACCTTTTTCCCACTATATTTCCAAGCACTAAATACAGGACAGTGAAGGACAGAAAATGATTTATCTACATACCCACACACACATATCACGAGTTAGAATATGAATTGCCCACAACTTTTCATATTAAATTGAAACAAAAGTATTTTCAGTTGACACTGAGTTATTTTGGGACATGCTTTTAAGCAAATCAACTACTGTTTCATCCTCCTAGACCATCGAAAGCACTTCACTGGAAAAGTTTGAAAACTGCTGTCCTGGATGATCTTCAAAGTTCCTCTCAAGTCCCCAATATTTCTCAACACTCCTTCCAAGCAACTGAATGAGAAAGAGTTGACTGTTACAGAATCAACTTGGCTAAGGAAACAGAAGCTGAAGTATCAAACTCCTTTTCTGAAAAAGTTCCAAATTGTTCCGCTGTATACTTTACACCTTGCCCTTTCCCATTTTTAAGGGTGCTATACTTCGGTGAGCTCTTGGTTTAGTTGTTAAAATCCTGCTCGGGACATGTGCATCTCACATCTGAGTGCCTGTGGTTGCAGTCCTGGCTCTGCTGAGGCTGTCGGCCTCCTGCTGATGGGTCCCGAGAGGGCAGCAGGCACGGGCTCCAGCAGCTGGGTCTCCACCACTGCTAAGGGAGACCTGGATTGCATTCCAGGCACTTGCCCTCAACCTGACCCAGCCCCATGCAGGCATCTGCAGGGAACAATCAGATGGGGGACACCTGTCTGTCTCTAACTTTCAAAGAAATAAACAATGTGAAAAGAATACTATTCTTTGTTTCTTAACAGATTTATTTATTTGAAAGGTGGCATTACAGAGAGGAGACACAGAGGGAAAAAAATCTTCCATCTGCTGTTCACATCTCCAGTGGACTTGAACTAGCTCCCATATGGGACACCAGCACGGCAGGCAATGGCTTCACCTGATATGCCACAACACCAGCCCCTAGACTATCCATTTTACAGACAGCAGTGCGAACGGCGATGATTTCTTAGGAAAATAGGAGAGACCTAAACTAAAATCCTTTCTATCTGTACTCAAAACTAACCTCATTCATAACATCTTTTGAGCTCTTTTAGGAAAGTGCTGAGTAATGCAAAGCACACAAATATAATTCATGAACTACACAACACTCACGAACACACTAGCCATGCTATAGGAATGCTATCTAAACTAGGAAGGGCTCATCCTGGGCTTTTGTCCTGAAGGCCTTCTGACCTAGAATCGATTTGCATTGGTAAGATAGTTTTACTAACATTATATCATCTAACACTTGAGTCTCCAAATTTCTTTTGTTCTGTTTCTATACCTGTCCTAACAAACATCTCAAGAGAACTGCAACACACCCAGCACTTTGGTGGTCACTAAAGCACTTTTACACACATCCACTACGCTGACACAGGGCTAACCTCTTGTCTGTTCTGAATGACACAGTTTTTGCATTTCAACAGGCTATGATCAAGTCTTACAGGCCGGACAGCCAGTTTGGCTCAAAAGGTGACTATACACCTGTGCTGTGATTCATTCTCTATTGATCTTTCAACATTCACTGTCAAAGATCGTTATGATGATTCCTAAAAAACTCCTTACCATTCTAAGGCATTGCTTGCTTGCTTTGTTTTTCTTTTTTTAAGGCATGATGAGTCTGAGGTCTGCATTTTTTTCAATTATTTATTTATTTATTATTATTGGAAAGTCAGATATACAGAGAGGAAGAGAGACAGAGAGGAAGTTCTTCCATCCATTGATTCATTTCCCAAGTGGCCGCAATGGCCAGAGCTGAGCCTATCCGAAGCCAGGAGCCAGGAGCTTTTTCCAGGTCTCCCAAGTAGGTGCAGGGTCCCAAGGTTTTGGGTCGTCCTCTGCTGCTTTCCCAGGCCACAAGCAGGGAGCTGGATGGGAAATGGGGCAGCTGGGACACTAACCGGTGCCCACATGGGATCCCTGCGCATGCAAGGCGAGGACTTTAGCTGCTAAGCTACTGTGCTGGGCCCGATATTGCTTTCAAAATTATGCAAAGAGCACAGAAAATCTAGAAACTTCCAGTCTTCAGATCTAATAATACTCTCTGGACATAGAACTAAAAAACTTCCTTTCTCAACAATAAACTGTTCTTGAGATGCTGAGGTTACAAAAGGATGTGACTCTTAACTCTGTAAAATACCAAGCAACTACATTTGGTATCTGTTCATATAAGAAGGCAATAAAAATGTTTTTTTATTTTCCTAGTGACTACACACTTTTTGTCTAGTGATACAGTTATCACTTTCAGGAAGTTGAAATATTATATTCAGTTGAAGTCTATATATGGTGGTTGGATTTAATCATTCCTGCCTAGCTCACTAAGGAGCAACCATCACTTTTCTCTATTCTCTAGCCACATTTTGAGCAGGTAAGGTTGGGTTTTCCCAGGCTATATCTGTTGGGCAATAATTATTCGCATGGTCTCATCCTAGATTCACATACAGCCTTTATTCAGGCACAGTTAAAGGTACGGAAACCTATTAGGTTCAGAGTAGCTCTTCCAAGAGCCACTTTTGCAGACACTCAAAATTCTGTCCCCTTTAATTACCGACAATTAAAAATGCATCTTAAATGTCTCACTCTATGCCAAGGAGGTGCAACAGAGCTCCTCTTCACCAGCATCATTTTCATCAGCTCATGGTAAAGCCAGTCTCAGAGTAAGACCCCACTGATTTTCTTCTGGGAGAATCTTGACCACATTCCTTCTCTAAAAAGGAACAGGGAAGCTGCCACCTGCGATGCCAACATCCACCCGGGCATGGATTCTTGTCCTGGCTGCTCCAGTTCCATCCATCTCTCTGCTAACGATATGAGGAAAGCAGTGAAAGATGGATCTAGTGCGTGGGTCTCTGCTACCCAGATAGGAGACCCAGAAGAAGCTCTTGGCTCCCGGCTTCGGCCTGGCCCAACCTGGGTCACTGAAGCCATCCGAGGAGTGAACCAGCAGATGAGATCTCTTTCTGTTTCTATCTCTCATTCTCACTCTGTAACTCTTTCAAATATATAAACCCATCTTTAAAAAAAAAAAGTAATAGTAAAGAAGAAGAGAAATTGTTAAGTGACTTAAAAAAATCTGGGGAAAAAGTTTTTGTAAAATCAACTTGCTCTTAAGCTTGGCAAATTATACTGATATTCAAAATCACAAAAAGTTACCGCCCAAAATGTTATTTTTTAAATCATATCATTTAACTAAAATCACTAAAAATACCTGATAAAAAAGTGAAAGTGAAAAAAGTGAAAGCTCTAAGCAACTTGATTGTGAGATTTAATGTAAGAAGTACATACTGTACAAATGCTTTTCACTTGTAAAAGGAAGCACCCGTCCATATGTGCCACTTCTCTGAAATGGGTCATGGTATCATCACCTGAGAGATGAAGGTCAGGCCATCCTAAATCAGGTAATGATTTAATCCCTACATAGGTGGGGGAAAGTTGTGACATCCTTAAGATAGAACATCAAAAAATAACAGATATTTTTGATCAAAAAGAATGCGAGAATTGTCCAGGCCTTCTCTGACAACAGCAATTTAAAAAGGGTCAATAATCTGAATGAAGTTCACAAAAAAAAGACCGGAAAGCACCATAAAGGACTTTTTAAATATGAAATTTCCAAGACTGCGGTCAGACAAGCCCCTGGACTGGGAAGGCGAAGGGTGCTTGCTCGGGCTGCAGAGCAACCTGATGAGGCAAGATCATTATTAGTAATACGGACACATGCAGGGACTACCTCCTCTTATTTGTGTTTAGGTTTTTTTCTTAACTGGCTACATATTTTTGGTTTTAATTACATAGCACTTAAAGTGCAGACCATGTCATTAAATGCCTATACTGTTTTTTCAAAAAGTTAAAACTTTTTTTTTAAAAGGCTTTGTGATAGAGTGGCTCAGTTCTAGGGTACCCAGGAGAACCTGACCTTTGCCCAGTTTCATCCTCTTAATGGTTAACAAGCACAACCTTAATGTCTGGGAGGAAATCAGCAGTGTCTACAAAGCATACTTTGTAACTTCCTGCCTGTTTAACAAATATTTTACCAAACACAGTAAGTTTGAATGATACTGAGTCTACTGAATTTCCACAATGAATAGATTTAACAAAAGGAAGGAAATTCTTTACCTCAGGAACCTTACAGCTGATGGTTAGTATGAAGTCTGAATATTTTCCATCATTTGGCCCCAATCTAAACACCAATTCCACTGCTCAGTACTGCTCAATTTTTTAAAATGTAATTCTTTACATATTGCCATTTATTTGTTTGTTTATTTATTTTTTATTGGAAAGCCAGATATACAGAGAGGAGGAGAGACAGACAGGAAGATCTTCCATCCAATGATTCACTCTCCAAGTGGCCACAACGGCCGGTGTTGCATCAATCCAAAGCAAGGAGCCAGGAACTTCTTTCCAGGTCTTCCACAAGGGTGCAGAGTCGCAAGGCTTTGGGCTGTC